TGAGTCATACTCTCCGGGATATCCCGTCTCTGAGATCCGGGCCGAGTGGTTCACTGCCAGCTTCGCAGTCCCTCGGGTTGGATGCCTTACTTAAGGCAAGTGTCCAGAGGCTCTGTCTTCGGACAGACAGGAAGTGGCCAGACTAAGTGTCTATGCTCTGACGCCAGGTCAGGCCGTCCTGGTGGCACTTCGGGGTGAGTACGTTCCCCTGAATAGTGACTGGCTGGGGTTCCTTCGGTTTCCCCAGCCACATTCCTTAGAAGGGACCCCTTCTGATTGAAGTTGTGGTCCTAGGCCTTTGAGCAGGCCCAGGTAGGCCTTTCATTTAACTATGTTTATGGAGGTTTTCCTGTGAGGCTTATACCTTGGGCTATGACCGTAGGGAATGATGTCACTGACAGCCCAGTGTGACCTGAGGGTGAGTGGATCTAGCATTTCATTTGAATTTTCTGGTTCGGACAGTTGTCACTGCCTGAGGGCATGCACTCCCCTTAGCATGGCGGCGTGGGTATATCGTTCCCCATAGCGTCGATGACGTATTGTTGAGTTCCCTTCGAAAGGGAACGTCTCAGGTTACGACTGTAACCTTTGTTCCCTGAGAACAGGGAACGAGACAATACGTCTCCCAGCCATGCCTCGGGGCTTGCCTGCCGTACAGTCCCTTCAGACGATAAGGTGATTTGTCATGTTTGCAAGGCGCCCTTATATACTTCCAGGTCGCACGTTAATCATTCACGTTAATGATTCACGGGCTGTCGCCGGTCAATGTGATTGACGTGATTTGATAGTGATTTCAGACACCTGTAACGCCTGAGGCGTTCCCCCATAGCGTCGATGACGTATTGTCTCGTTCCCTGTTCTCAGGGAACAAAGGTTACAGTCGTAACCTGAGACGTTCTTCAGCAAAATACATGCAGTTTTGTTTTATAACCTCTAGAGGACCAAAAGCAACATAGTGTACCTTTAATGTTAACGTTAACCTGCTTTGTGAGAAATTATCCTCTTGAATTCGGAGATATATGTGTCTTTGCAAGTTCAAAGGTTCAGATCCAGATAAGTTTGATCTTGACTCCTCCTTCAGGCCGCACACAAAGAAAATAATACACAGCAATACTAAGACTGTCAAACTAAATTTGGAGCAAATTTATGTGTGTGTATTATAAAAGTCCATGTAAAAAGGAGTCTTTTATTAATCTCACTCTGCCTGTCAATCATTTTTGCTGATGTCAAATTGAATAAATGTCTTTACAGCGTTAAAAAAAATTAACTGTGTTCAAAAATTAAATGCATGCGTGATTTTGACAGCCCTAATCAATAAATGTTGTGGTTTAAAAAGGCTAAGCATTTGACATTTACCATACAGGAATAGGGAATTCTTCCACTTTAGAAACAGTATGATAGTCTCATAAAGATTAGCTAGATTTACACTAATGCTATAAATGAATAGAGTTTATTTAACTTAGGGGCGGCATATAACAGAGTATATCTGCCTTCAGCAACAAAGGTGAGAGATGTTTAATAAAGTGCCAAACCCCAAACAAGATAATATACGGCCTAGTATAACATTTTACAGTTTCATTTGATCATCTTGATTGCATTCCTAAACCTGTCGTACAACTTTAATGTATAGTACTATGCAGCACCCAAGAACACCCTCTGCACATACTGAATGAAACGAGCTATTCCCTTGGCAATCACTGACATTATGAGCTTCCATCCAGTATTTACTTGTCCTAGTTATTAAGAATGAAGTCAAATTAGCTCTGCATCTGCCATTACAAACTTAATGCCAAAGAAAATATATATTCATATTGCCCTACAAAGACATTATGACTCTTATTGGGTTCCTGTCCTGTGTTCTCAGCTATGCTACCTAGTGTTGGCATAGTTACTGTATTTGCCTTTTTAGGACAGCATAGGAGGAGGTAACATGAGGTGATAAAGAGAAGATGGGATTGGTAAATTACCCATGTCCGATTCATGTTGGAGCATGTTTGGCATTATGTTTGCACATGGTAGCTTCAGAGGGGTTTTCAACTTCAACTTAAAATAAACTCTCTTAAAACATATAATCTTTTCCACCACAATATAATTTCTATTAAATCTCAAATTATGTACTGTGATTAATAGGATTTGTCAATGAAAATGACAGTGGATCCTGAATAAAATGGCAAACTCATTTGTCTTGCTAAGGCACATTTCACAGCTAGCATTTTTTGTATCATAAATGCACACAATTGAATCATATCTTCACCTTTTTTTGTACAAAACTGTAATTTAACAAAATTACAGCTTGATTAATCACAAACGTATCATGCTGGGGACTTTCAAAACCATGCACCCTTGCAGCTGAGAAAAATGGAAAGAACCTAAGCATAATCGCATTTAAAGGTACAATATGTAAGAATTTTGAAATAAAATATCCAAAAATCACTTGCGCAGTGTGATATGGTTCTTGCAGTTGTGTAATTACAATATCCCAAAAGTCTCCAAAGATTTTTTATTTCAGAGAAATTCCAATTTTAAATAAGTGGCCGTCCCGGAAAAAAAGGTCGCCTGTCAATGACGCAACATCCGCGCTATCCTCGGTTTCCGTTCATACTGCCATAGCCATGACGTAACCATGTCGACAGACGTGGACAACTGCATAGTGCGTAACGTTTAGCGGCACGCAGTTCTTGTTTCTTTCAAACATAGATCATGGCAAGCAGACTTTTGGACAAACAAGGAGAACTAAAATGAGAATCAATTTCAGCGTGAAGTTTTTGAGATGCCGAGAGCTCCACGTTCGCGACTAACTTGGACTTGACAGAGCTTCACGAGTCACGACTTGACAGCTTTATTAAACAGGTGAGCAAACGTACATAAAACAAATCAATGTTGTATAACGTTAGCTCAACATGATGAAATGTTAGAATATGGTCAGTATGTTATTCTAATGTTGATCTAGCTTACTAGCAAATGAACTAACACGTAGTATAACATTATAACTTTCAACACACATTTAAATGCCACTTAGTGTGATAGTGTAACGTTAGACCAAGTGAAGCAGCGCTGCGTTACCTCACAAGTTTAATTCTTCAAATAAACTGACCTGTGTGAGTAATCCAGCACTTGCGGGTAGTTCGGTAGAATTAAATGTCCTTATTCCTTTATATCCGTGGGACTCGCGTGTGATATCTGTCTCTTTAGCAATCACGACCTGCTTTATACCACAGTAATGTTAAAAAACATGAATGTTTGCACTCATCTATAAACATTATTAGATCCATCAGCTTGACAGCAAGTCCCATCATTCAGCTCATCACTGCGTCATCAACCTACGCTTTTGTTATTGTTGGAAACTGCGCCCTCTTGTGGCGAAAATATCTTACATATTGTGCCTTTAAAAGCTGAAATGGGTTACCCAAGGATGAATATGAAAAAGTCCCCAAATGAAACATGCTGCATCCCAGGACTGACGCAGGCCAGTCAGTCACTCAGTGGTTTTATGTGAGAGAGCTGCTGACCTAATTCCCAAATCTGGTTCCCTTAAAATTTTCCAAATAAACAAATGCAGCTTCACTGCATGAATAAGTGGGGGGGGGGGTTTAACATACCTAAGGCTCAGGACTGATCATTATGGGTACACATCATGGTTCAACAGCTACAATGACGTATGTAAAATTATGCTATATATGGCCTTGATGTGAAAATGTATGCACAAGTAAGACATAAACTTATAAACCATTAAAGATGACAGAGGTAAAAAAAAAAAAAAAAAAAGCAAAATAAAAAACAATTGTACACAAATTTGCTACCACAATATAAATATATAATGCTACTATTGGACCATTCTGAGCTGACTGAAACTGACTGAAGCTGTGCAAACACTCTCACACACTCACATGCAATTCACAGTAGATAGAAAACAAAACAGAGATATTTAAATGGATGTTAATTAATGGCATTCATTGAAGCCAAACAAGTGAAGTTTGCACTTTTAAGATTACATCCATAAAGTGTGGGGTAGGGTTTTACTATTAAATCGTTCCTGTTTGGCATTTTTGTGCATTTTGATGCAGTTTGAGAAATATTGAATCGATTACCGTATTGTATGTGAGTTAGCTGAATAAAGAGCATAGTTAGACTGTATGAGATTTTTTTTAATGTTTTTGAAATAAATCTCTTTTGCTTAACCAAGGTTCAATTTATTTTATGAAAACACACAGTAAAAACAGTAATATTGTAAAATAGTATTACAGTTTAAAATCATTGTTTTCTATTTTAATGCTTTCAAGATTTAAATGTCACATGATCATTCTACTATGCATTCTAATATTTCCTATTATTATCAATGTTGAAAACAATTATTCTGATTAGTATTTGTGAAAACTGTTTTTCAAGATTATTTGAAGAATAGAAAAAAAATATTTTGGAACATTATTAATGCCTTTAATGTCATAAATAAATGTAATGCCTTTAATGTTTTAATCAATTTAATGCATTCTTGGCAAATAAAAGTATTAATTTCTTTCCAATCAAAATATTGAGCAATTGTGTTTACTGTGTACTCTATACTACTAAAACTACTACTAACAGAAGGGAGAAATTCGCCAATATTGAATTAGTCCTCCCAACTGCTGCATTTTTTTGACAATATTACATGACAAAAAAAGCAACATTCATCATGGTGTTTCATAGCCATTACCCGATTTAATTTTAGTTTAGAAAACCTGCTAGTTGAATAGCCTCATACAATAGTGCCAGTGCTATGTAATAAAGAAGCACACGCACACGCACACAAATAAACACACAATGAGTCTGTTTACTGCTGCCATGATCACTAAAAATATACAGAATTCAAATAAATATTTCAAATAAATTTAAATTTATCACCATATTTACCACTGTATTAGAGTATGTAATGAGACAGATTTTGTAGTGTAATACTTTTTAGTGAATTTGAGGCTACAGTTTGACAATAAATTTAGCAACATATAAAAATTTCATGCACCTACCTTTTTCACTAATACTTTCAATCTCCACATCCTCACAGCTGGTGTATTCAGGAGTGGAGCCACCCTCTTCTTCAGAGCTACTGATGGACATCTGCCTTTTGTTGAGGCCTCGTTTGGGTCTATAGGCTCGTGGTGGAGGTGGCCGTAACGTCTCCGATTGGTCCGAGCTAAGAGAAGAATCTTTACGCATGATTTCTGCAGCCTTTTCTCGCTTAGCCCTGTGCAGAAAAGCTGCGGACCCAGGTTCCAGATGCCCCTTTGGGCCCCAGTCCTGTCCGTCCCTGAGGTCTGGGGGCCCTGGAGGGCCTATGTGAGGGATACCGTGGCCCTGTTTAGCGACGGATCCTTGTCCCCCAACACCACCCCCCACGGTCCTATCCATAGAATAAGCTCGATGATTCTCTAAAAGGGTCTTGCGGTCGTCGTTGTTAGCTACTCGTTGCCTGCTAATTCTATTTCCAGCAGCCTCAACCCCATCTTGGATCAATCCCACTTCGTTGATGGCTAGGTCACTGTGATGACGCTCCTGACGCATTTTGGACACTTTGGCATGCATACGCATTTCCTGTTCCTCCTTCTGCGGTTTAACAGGGTAGCGGGCTAGGTTCGGGTCACTGCGGTAACGGGTCTGGTACTCTTCTTCTCGTCTTTGTCGCTCTCGCTCTTCCTCCTCTTGCCTCCTTCGCCGCTCAGGATGGGTGGGATCATCCTCTGGATATTCCTGTGAGTGCCCTTTCTCCAATCGTCTGCTGTCTCGCTTCTCACCTGGAGCTCGATCTTCAGAGGCCTGCGATGACAACCTGGCTGGTCCACGTCTTCTCTCTCCACGTCCAATCACCTTTCCATTCTGCTCGTGTAGGGACACGGGTCTCTTCCTATTATTGATTGGACATAAGTAGGAAAGACTTTGAGATATAGTATTTGGAATTTCCAAGCACCAAAGCCAATTTGCATTTACAACTGCTATAATATTAGTTATTTGAATAATACATAGCTCAACACCTGTTAACTCCTGTGTTTCAACATTTGGGAATTCAAATGCAAAAATGATTTAGCTGAATATGCATCTGACAGGAAGACAGGAAACATACGTCATTTGTTTTAAAGAGATTATAAGGCAGGAGCTGCAGTCCACATAGTGCCAGTTGAAAAGAGGTCAGAATGAACAGATTTTGTTGAAATGTCCAGCTTAAAATAGAATAAATTGTATGTTGACAGTAAGGATATGTAACACCGCATATTTTGTAAATTCAGTTCTGGGAAGTGGGAACCCAATGGCCAGTGGACTAATCTGTCTTAAAGAAGCCTGTATAACTAGGATTGTTTCACATAACCCTGGAAATACTTAGAATTTTAAATGTCATCTTAAAAATAATTCATTGTAAAAGTAATTCATATGAATTGAGTGCTTTGATCCTAGACTTATAAAGAGACACAATCTCTTTACATTATTAACTTTTTTAAGAATTATGAATTATGGTAAACTGAAGCTCAAACGGTCTTGCTTGATTGAAAATAATCAGTAACACCAATACAGTTTGTTCTTACGTGCCAAGTGAGAACAATTGAGCTTTTGTTTACCACATCTGATGTGCTCTATGTGTGTTGATCAATGTTTAAATGTGAATAAAAGCCTTGTAATTAAAACTAAAAGTAAATTTTGTAATTTCATAAAAGTTGTAATTGCTAACTAACACATTCGTTGCGTTAGTTTAACTGACTTCTAACTAGTCTGTGTTTAATACATTAAAGCTTCAGTCCGCAGTTTTTCCTCTCATCTCTGTTCGAAATCTGCAATTGCAGTTATTCGCGGAATTATCAACTTTACGTGAGTTGTACTTCGACACGGCACAGCGCGGATGAACACAATGTTTGAGGAGACTGTGAGGCTGTCAGTCACCGCGCCGGTGTGGATACTGGCATTCAGAATCACAGATTATTCTTTTTGGAAGTATGACCAACATAAGAATTTTCACCGGAAAATGTCTGAACAAGTAAGTAAAATCCACTTTTGTTCTGGTTCTGACATTGCAGTAAATCGCGCTGATTAAATCTAAAAATCGCTTATCATATCACGCAAAACCGTGAAAATTATACTTTGTTCTCAAATTGTTAATGTTAACAACGTCAGCATTGCGTGACTACATGTAATGTCCTTCCGATATGTATCCTTGTTTTCGCATGGGTCCGGTTGCAGTCTCTTTTTTTCTGTAGCCACTCCGAAGTCCGAACGAAGTCTTTTGCATTTTACAACGGGTGAATCTCCAGTTGTCACTGGTGATTGTCGTTTGAACCTTTCTGGATCCGCCATCAAATTGATAAGTTTAATTATATCAAGTGCTGTGAGAAAAGGCTATAAATCTCCACCTCCAACATCCTCACACGCAATATAGCCTACTAGCCGAGACTCCTTCTTTATGTGAACAGATGTGACGTAATGATGCAAAGACATGCTCAAATCTCCCGCGGATATCCACCAGTACCACTGGAATTAAAAACATTATTACAAGTTTACCGCTTTGAATCGAGCTAAGGCAAGCAAATAGTTTTGAACACTGGCTGGTTATGTATTTTCTCAAATATGTATTTTGGATAATTTTTAACCCAAAAAAAGCTACGGACTGCAGCTTTAAGTTAACTAACAGAATAACATGTACTATATTATAGCAGTATATTACGTTGATACACTTTGATAACACAATACTTTTCTGTGAAACTGCTTTGAAACTATATTTATTGTGTAAAGCGCTATACAACTAAACTTGAATCGAATTGAACACTATTGTAAAGTGTTTCCAAATCTGCAATGCTCATACAGTAGCACAGGGGTGTACAAACTTGCTCAAGGAGGGCTAACATTCTGCAGAGTTTAGGTCCAAATTGCCCCAACACACTTGCCTGGACGTTTCTAGTCAGTCTGAAGAGCTTGAATAGCTGATCCAGGTGTGTTTACCTAAGGTTGGAGCTAAAACTCTGCAGGACAGTGGCCCTCCAGGGGTATGTTTGGACACCCCTGCAGTAGCACAAGATGCTTAAAGGCACACTATGCAGGAATTCCGTTTTTGTCAAACAGGAGTACTTGTATTTAACGTTACTGTCGTAAATACCACTCACGCAGAGTGTCTCTGCACTCACGGCCTGATACCCCTTCGAAGCTGTTATATTAAAGTAACACTATGTAGTTTTTCAACCTTCATAATCTATTTCCAAGACCCTTGTGATGGTACATCGACTTACAATAGGTTGAATGACACATCTGCCATAGCCTGACGTGGTCTGTATCGCTTTTACTTGCACTATGTAACTTCGGGTTTCGGGTAGTAACCGAAGCACAAAAAGAACTACAAAATTCGACTGCTTTACGGCAAACGTCACTTTCCCCACCACTTCCTTAAATTGTCTGTGGCCATTGTTGATTCCAAAGCCGGTGCTGGATAAACAGCGAGCGCGCGCGTGCGACAGTAGGCTGCGGTAGGCTAAATTATTTACGACAGCGGTAATGGACAATTCCGCTTCCAACCTGTAGGGCGACCGCAGAGGAAAAGTTCCTTGGTGTTGCTTTAAGGTATAAATCTTGCATAGTGTGCCTTTAATCACTGGATAGGTTTTTTTTGTTTTGTTTATTGAAAGTGTTTTTTATTTCAGCTGAATTTCAGAGAAGATAAGGCAACGTTTTTTACCACAATTCACTTCCAGCGGTAATGCAGGGAAAAAAAATATCCGAATGCTCCACGTGAACTTCGGTCTTCCGATCTTTTACCATTGTGTCAATTCTCAATTGATTTTGATTAATATGCGCGAGGGAGCGAGAGAGAGCAAGACAGTTTGAAGACGGTGAGAGTGCGCGCGCGCACGGCCGGGGCGCTCTCTCTCTCTCTCTGCTCGTTCTTTCAGTAACACCCGCCGGCCCAAAGTTGCAAGTGTGGTTTTTCCGCTCACAGGCACCAGGGAGGGGGGGAGGGGGGGGGGGGGGGGGGGGGGACGGCCATCATTCAACCGGAAAAACGTCATATAACCATTCCAATAACTCCGAAGCTGTTCAGTTAAGCTAAAAAAAACTGCATAGTTCCCCTTTAAAATATGGAGCAAGGTGTGACACAACAGTCAAAAGATTTGTATGGTTGAAGCGATGGTAATTTTTTACTGTGGTTTTACCATGCAGCAATACTAATTTAAAAAAATTATAAAAAAATCTAGTTGATCTTTCCCAAGAGGCAATAAATCAACCACTGTGACCTATGCCTAGTTGACACAATACCCAACAGCATATTTCTCATTGTCTGTTCTCAGTTGAGTGCCACCATCTGCTAACTCATTCAAGTTGTTGCCAAGATGGCGCCCGGTGGTGTGTTGTCTGCTCGTCTGGCTTCGTTTGTTTTATTGTTTTTGTTGTTTCTATTGTGTGTATTCCCCAAACTAAGCCAGTCCCTCTGGACTTATGATCCTCAAATGTTAATTCATGTTCAAACAGCCGTATCTAACCTCTCTGGTGCTGGTCAACGCCACTTTTATCCCTGGCTCACGAGATCTCTACCGCCTGAGATACTTCGTCCGACAGGGAATCTTGGCAGAAGGAAGAAACGCTGGATGAGACGTGGCTGTAGAGCAGGTGCGTCAGCGAAAGCAAAGAGAACCTAGATCGCCTTTTCTTCGAGGGCGTGTGATTTTCGATTCCCTTGTCTTCGTGCTGTTTATCCGGAGGTGTTGAATGCTGTGTTGAGGCCTTCTCTTTCAAGATCGCATTTCTTCAAGAAAGGCATAAACCTGGATAACCTGCGCTATCCGTGGAAGGTAGACGAGTGTGGAGGCTCAAGTGCGCTGACCGGGAACACGGCGGTAAGGATGGCATTAGTTCATGCCAGATCCCTTGCAAACAAGCCATTTATTTATTTTTACCATTTGCATTGAACAATTTGGACTTTTTATTCATTGTTGAAACTTGGCTGAATGCTACTGACCTCACCCCTATTATTGAAGCGACTCCATCTGCCTGTGATTTTTTTAGTTCTAGCAGAATTTCTGGTCGGGGTGGGGGCCTTGCCATTGTTTTTAATAAATGTTTTAAATGGCTTCATCAACTTCTTGGATTGAGTCTGCTCCTTCTGCTGATCCCGAGGAGTTAGGATGAGTTTAATGTTTAACTCTGTACAAATATCATCGTTTCTATTGCCCCATATAAGATCAAGGAAAAAAAAGCAAAGATGCAACCTTGGTTTAATGAACAGACTCGTGCTCTAAGACAGGAGTGTAGAAAAGCAGAAAGGAGATGGCAAAAGGTTAGGTTACACATTTCCTTACAAATTTTAAGGAACAGTTTGACTAAACACCAAAATACTGTAAAAAATTATAGATCCAATATGATCGCTAATAACCCCCCATGTGAACTATTTGCTGTCATTAATAGACATCTTTGCCCCAGTACGAAATGTAACTTGACTCCTTTGCTGATAACATGTGATTTATTTGTGAAGTTTTTTATTGTGAAAGTTAATGGGATTAGAGCTAGTTTTTCTACTTTGGCTTCAAACCCAGGTTTAATAGATTTAATCGGATTGAGTTTTAATCAGTTTGAACCTGTGTCACTCTCTGATATCAAGGACATTATTCTTCACTTAAAGCAGGGGTCACCAAACTTTTTTCTCTGGGGGCCACATTATCGTTCCTGACTGTGATGGGGGGGCCGGGTCAGCTATATAACATAGAATTGTATGACCCAGACAAAAATGACCACCAGCAGGCCTCATTGTGTAGTAGAGATTACTAGCCTGGCACAGCCATCCCCACTACTATATCCACACTACTATATCAACACTTGATTCCGAGTTTGGCGAAGGAATACATTCTGTTGTGCAGCCAGTCCGCCTATCGTCCTCCAAATCCTGTCTTCTCTTGCTTGCCCTCGCAAGCTAGCATACTCTTTGTGGCGGGTTTCGTGGTGACGATGCAGATTATATTCTTTGAAAACCGTCACACTTTCTTTACAAATAATACAAACTGCATAGTCCTTACCAGAGGTGTAGTGGTAAAAAAAGAGGTGGGTAAGTTAAACTATAAATTCTGGTGGACCACGACGTGGTCACCCAGTAAGGTGGGCCACTGCCTACCGGTCTATGTGTATCCTGATGACATTGCTATAGGCAGGGCTCGACAATAAGCCTTTTCATACGCTTGTCCTTCGGACAAGTAAATCTGTTGTCCGAGTAAAAAAGTTTCTCGTCCGGATTATTAATTTTTTTTTTTTGTGTGTGTGTTAATTTATTCTGAAACAATATTCTCATCAGTGTTCAATTAGCTTTGATATTTAAATCGGCATATTGCAATATTTGCACCTTTAAAGGGCATCCCCTCCCCCAATATTATTAAATGTATGCTTCATCTTTCTTTTTAAATTCCTAAATTTGATCAATAAATTCAACTATTTCGAATAATAAGACACTATAGGGCTGATCAAATTAAATCATTTACACTGAAAAATTACAATTGCATAAAATTATGTTATGAAATTGATTTAAATTTACAAATAAGAAATGTTGGAAAGAATGATCTACTTTTAAACATAACACAAACCGCCAGTAGGTGGTGGCAGGCGACCATCATAATGAGTGAGTCATTGATTCATTCATTCAAACGATTTGTTCAAACGGCTGATTCATTCAAGATTGAGACAGATGTTTATGAATGGGTCATTGAATCTTTGACTCAATCGATTCGTTCAAAATGCTGAATCATTCAGTAATGAAAACAGGTTGAGTGTTCCTGTGAGATGTGCCGTGGTTCTGCTGTTTCGCTGCTGAAACAGAACAGAAACAGCCAATATTGCATCTAAAATGTAAGTGACTTAATTTTATGTGTTTATCGAACTGTTGTAGGAAATCAATGTCACATTTTCAATCGTGATGGTGTTCAGGAAAAATAATTGAGGTTGCTTAACATATGTTAAAAATATAAAAACTGACTGTGTGTGTGCGCTCATTTGTGTAGATTTCTCCTCGAGAGGCTGCGCGAGCGTCAGCAGCGCAACCTTACCGTCAGTAATAGTCAACAACACTGACAGTAATGCAGCGCAATATGAAAGAGTTCGTCTTAGGTTTAACAACCTATGAAACTTATAATTAACAATATGAAACTAAAACGACATAAGCTTAATTTATAGCTATTTAGAGGTGGATAAACGCACTTTGGAGGTGGGTAAACGCTATTTCCGAATATTGGGAGGTGCATAAACGGCGTTTACGTGCGTTTAGCCTCCACTACATCCTTGGTCCTTACACTGAACAAAAAAATAATCGTTGGTCCACTGTTCTTTGAAAACTCTGCAATCTCTATCAACTTTTCGTTTAACGCTAGACATTTTGCTGTACCCTGCGCGTGCGTTGTTGGGTTAAGTAGTGGGGGGCAGAGGGGCTGGGGGGCCAGTCAAAGGGGGGTGGCGGGCCTGAGTTGGCCCGCGGGCCTTAGTTTGGTGACCCCTGACTTAAAGCGTTCATCTTGCCCCAGCGATGCCGTCCCGTTGTGCATGTTTAAGGATGGTGTGGACATCGTTAGCCCAAGCATTTTATCCATTATTAATTGTAGCCTCCAGACCGGGGTTGTGCCAGTATGTTTTAAGCAAGCTATCGTTGAACCTATTTAAAAAAAATAAAAAATCTGGATCCGTATGATTTAAAAAATTATCGACCAATATCTAAATTACCCAGCCAAGCCAAGATATTAGAAAAACTACTTTTTTTAACCAATAATAATATCTTGGATAAATTCTAATCTGGCTTCAGGTGTGGGCATAGTACAGAGTCAGCACTTTTAAGGGTTGTAAATGACCTCTTGCGATGCTGGTAATCATGCAGCTTTAATTCTTTTAGATCAAATAGTGATGACTCAGGGGCAACACTTCTTAAATGTCTGGAGGAAGTAAAAACGTGGATGGCCGATAACCATGTCCAATTAAATTAACAGAAAACAGAAATGATCATCTTTGGTCGTACAGTTTGTAATAAGACTGTAAATGATAACTTAGGAGCTTGGGGCAGCTACCTACAGGGTCAAGTAACAAACTTGCGAGTCATTTTTGATTCCTTGCTGAAGTTTGATAAACAGATAAAAACTGTGGTTCGGAACTGCTTTTTTTTATCTCAGGACAATAGCCAAATTAAAATTGCTTCTCTCAACATGTGATTTGGAAAAAGTAATTCATGCTTTTATCTCTAGATTTTATAGATTACTGCAATTCCATTTACCTTGGGACTTATCATTCGCATATCGCACGTCTCCAGTTAGTTCAAAAGGCTGCTGTAAGATTGCTAATGAATGCAATGAAGACAGATCAGAGATCATATTACTCATTTGTTATCCTCATTGGGCTGGTTACAGTACAATATAGTATTCATTACAAGATTTTACTATATGTTTTTAAAGCAGTTTATGGAATGGCTCCAGGATACTTGGTGGAGCTCATTAAGCCTTATAAGGCAAATATATCACTAAGATCCTAAAATAAGCTCCTGTTAACTATCCCACGAGTACTACGTCTTAAATCCAAGGGTGATCGTGCTTTCGCAGTTGCTGGTCCGAGATTATGGAACGACCTACCCTTTTTTGTTAGATCTTCCCCAACATTAAATATTTGTAGGTTTCGTCTAAAGTCTCACTTGTTCTCTCTTGCATTTTAAGTCACTCTTTTAATGGGTGTTGTACTTTTTTATTGTTTATCTTGTTGTTTTGTTTTCGATCATTTGTTATGTAGAGCTGTTTTGATTTAGATAATTTGTAATGTACAGCACTTTGGAGCTACTGTGTAGCCTGTAAGGTGCTTTATAAATGAATAAATACAAATACAAATACCAGTAAATATGCACTACTGCACTGCATGCTTAATTCTGATCAGTAGGGCCACTGAGATATATATATTAGGACTGGCATGTGTGTAAAAATTTTTGGCCTACTTGTCTCGTGGTGGTTCACTGCGGGAGCGTGAGGCGGGCATTGTATCTGCTCCCTTGGTGGGGTCACCAGGACCAGCGTTGGGTGGCAGAGTGTTGTTAGTGCCCGGAGCCTGGGATCTGGAGCGCAACCTCCTGTCCTTCTCCAACTCGGGGCCACTGAGGGGAGCACCCACACTAAGAGGCCTAGCCCCAGGGCCTGATGAAAACCATTCTCCTGATTTAGTTAGAATTTCCTGCTGTTTCCTGCACAGGTTACATACCCACATCACCTGCATAGACAAATACAAGTGTTATTAAGGGAGGCAGCGATTGATGATCATTGTAAACTATCAAGATGTACAGTACAGCTAATACTTGAATTAAATTATGTTATTCTTTTACAGTTTTTCAAAAACATTTAAAACAAACAAATTTAAGACAAAGAGACAGACATATATATACATAACCACATAATATACTTACATTCAGTACATACACACATTCACACTTTAAAACACATCAAACACTGGACTTTCATTATATACTGTATTTAGCCAGCACAAATTCAATCTAGTAATTTCAATGAAGGAATAGGAACTGACAATGTTGAGCAGGTGTAAATATGAGCTGCAATATTATTCAAGCAATTCAAGTCAACTAGACTAAACAATCAAACTCTATCAGATATAAAAACACTTATTTTCAATTTCATCTACTACTTTACACAGTTTCCTACACTTGCTGGACTGGGCTAATTGGTGGCTATATTTTGAAAAGTGATTCAAAGATTGTAGATCTAGTAGGGCTGCCCTCTAATAGTCTGCCAAATGTTAGTCAATGAAAAGAGGCTTAGTCGACCAAATTTTAATTAGACGGTTAGTAACAGAAAAAAAAACTCCACACGGCCTCGTTTACACTGTCAGTGAAATGTGACCCAATTCCGATTTTTTGCTCATATGTGACACAGATCGGATGTGTTCTATGACAGTGTAAGCAGGAAAAATACCCATGCATTCGGATATTTCGAGATCGGTTTCAGGCCTCGTTATGTGGAAGTACATCAGATATGTGCCAATGCTACTGTCATGTAAACAGGCAGATCGGATTTTCTGAGGCATTAGGCTACGTATCCGTGGTTTAATGATGCAACCCCAACGCGCATCTGCAAAGGGACGGAATGGCCTGACAAAAGTTGTGTCGTCGTAGGAGATGAATGTGGACACACGTTGACACAACAAAGGTTGGCTTGCTCATCCTAGAATTTCGGACCCACTGCTCCTCGTTAAAGCCCGCCACGATCTCATGAAAGTGCGTATCTATAGCACAAATTTTATTTCTCGTGCCATTTACGCCAAAAATAGTTTTTGCGTACATATGATAGGCTACGCCGTTTTCGCGTGCATATGATATGCACTTTATGGCGTGTAATACGCACGCACTCTACACCCCTAATCCTACCCAAGCGGTTTACAGTGCGTATCATGCACGCAAAAACTATGTTTGGCGTATAAATGGCACGAGAAATAAAATTAGTGGTATAGGTACGCACTTTCATGAGATCGTGTTGTATGTTCCCACCAGTCCTGAGATCTCTCTCGCACACAATAACTGAAGCATATGCGCAGGCTGCAATGATGGCCTTTTTCGTCCTCCTCCGCCTCAAAATCGTGAAGATGTTTGGCAAACTTCGCATACATCGCAAAGCTAGCATCAAGCATATTTCGCGTCCGTCCATCTGTGCAAGAACCCCCTTTAAGCATGCACGATGTTTCAGATATATGTCAAGTGTAAACACATGAATCTGATATGGGTCACAATTGAAAGAACGTGTAAATGGCCAGTCAAAAAAATCGGATATAGGCAACAAATCAGAACTGGGCATCAAGACCTGCAGTGTAAACGAGGCCGAACTGACAATGTCACGCAGTCCGTGATGTACAGATTGTAACACGACTGGTTCATGTGGTAAACAGTATGACGGGCAGGAAATCCAAACATTCATCTATCATTCATTGACCTAACTATGGCTTATCATTTGAAACATGTAGGTAGTAGCCTAACATTTGCCACTACATAGCCGCTCGCTCTAATGTTAGCCTAGATAAATGTGCGCTGTTAGGTCATTTTTGGTCATACAGATAAGGGTAAGACAACATTCGAAACTGTCAGGGGGCAGCGCTAAGATCTAGTATCCCCAGTACAAGCCTTCAAAATAGATGGTAGCCTACCTAAAGACCTCATTGAAAACAATTCAAAGCTCTGAATTTATGGGGTTTTTTATGACCTTAAAGGGTAACTAAACCCTAAAACAACTTTTTTTAGTTAATGATCTGGGCTTTATTAATGCTGTTCATTGATTCGAATAACTTTTTTGACATTTGGGTATAAAGTGTAAAAACGCCTGAGTGCTGCCCTCTTCAGGTTGAACGGTGGCTACTGCAGTTGAATTTTCCTTTTGGAAGTTGTGGTCCCCTGTGATGTAAGCAGGCACCAGCTAACCACGCCCTTGCCTACAGAGAGACCCGTCTCAGGTGCATGGGCCCTCTGCTGGGCTCTGCCCACTTTTCCAGCATTTTTCAAATATTGCCAATGGGTGGAGTCAGGCTCTGACCAGGGGTTTAGTAACCAAAAATTCTGTCATCATGTTGTTCCCAACCCATAAGACATTCATATTTGGAACAGAAATGAAGATATTTTTTAATATTCTCATACCCTTTTTGTCCATCCATTGAAACTCCGCACAATCAAAATGTCACAATGGTGCTCGCTTTCGGGTTAAGCTTTCCGCGACTGTGCAACTGGGTTATAGGTTGCCAGGTTGAGATGACAAACGGGTTGAAATTGAATATGGTGTGTGGATTGTGTGAATATAATGCATTTAATACAAGATCTGGCAACTGGTCAACATTAGACAAACATATTGGTCCGATTATTCATAAAGGAGTTTGGGCCATGCAAATTACGGAAGTTTCCCGGGAGAATAAACAAACCGAGAGGGGTCCGGGAGATAGGGCAAAAAAATGGGAGAAACCCGGGAAAAACGGGAGTGTTGACAGGTATGCCCTAAGGGTGGTCCAAGGTGGCTGATTGATTAGCTTACACCTGATGTTGATTTCTTTTATCATTTTGGTCTAATTAAGCTCTGTTTTGTTCAGTTATTTTGTTCTTTTGTTCAGTTATTTTGTTCAGTTCTCAATAATAAGCCCCTTATTATTGAGCCCTGTAATAGTTCATTCATGAGATGGATGGCTGAGGCTGCCTAAAATAACTCAGCCGACACCATATTTCTTCACTTCCTCTACCCATATTTCTCCCACCCTCTCTCTTACACTCTCTCTCGCTTTTTTTTTTGCCAGCCAGCCAGCTAGACAGGCCTGATCTGACATGATTAGCAGGAATGCTAAATCAAATGAACAGCTCTTGCATTGACAACAAGTTCATGGCTTTAAAAACACAGAGGTTCAATCTATTGATCTAACATTACACTCTTAAAGCACCCTCAGAATTGCAGTAAATCAAAGCCCATTGCAGTACATGACAGATGCTGTGGCTCTTGTCCTCCAAAAACATTTGTATGAGAAGAACCACCCTTTTTTTTACTGATCTCAGTGATTCTACAAGCTTAAGAAGGAAGCCAGAGGTCTGTAAAATACAAAACTGTGTAAATCACATGGACACCCTGCAACCGACACTGCATTTTTTATCAATTGGATAAATGGTGTGAGAACTGAAAAGCAGATATCACCCAAATAGCCTGTAATGTTGTAGTCATCTTTAGCGCTCGATGATCGCAAACTGGTTATGAAAGCAAGAGCTTATATGATGCACAAAAACAGGATGTTTCGCAACAGACACAGACACAAATGCTTAATTTAAGCAATAACAATCAGTTTTATGATGTTAAGACAGAGGTTTGATATTTCATAAAAGTTTGAATGAGAATAGTTTGACTTTTAACTATTCTATGCTACAAACACCTTTACTCACATGTCAGCATCCTCCTTGATAATAGATCCCCTCTCACAGGGTCAACCTTCAACTCCATGAAAATCCAATACAAATTCTTTGAAGAATCGCCAGTACAAGATACCTTGCCGACAAATGCGTTGCATTTCGGTGTTGACCTGATCTTAAAGAGGAGATAGGCTGTTCTAGGACAGGATGGATATGAGGGAGAGTGAGAGAGAAAGAGAGAGAGAGAGAGAGAGGGGGGCAAGAGAAAGAATCATGGCCTGATTGGATCCAGTTGGCACGACTCCAGCATAATCTGAGGTAAATCAGATGTGCAGAGGCCCACAGCTGTCAGCCAGCCAGAGAAACACTCTCGGGAAGGATTAGCAATCCCTGCTAATCCCACCACGCTATTGCGCCTAGCCCTTCACCATTATTCAATCCAATGATGAGACAATGCTGCTGCGCTCTTCCCCTTAATGCCATGGGGAAACTACCATTGATCAACATTTATCTTGAAAAGAGGGACCACAGACCTCAATTAAAAACTAGCATGTGCTCTTATTGCTAAACAGAAAGTAATTCACTCGTATTGGTGAGAACTGGTTTGGCAGATCATGATCAGAAGAGTTTGTGTAGGAACAGAAAAAATCAACACCTTAAAGACACGTCAATGTGCTTCATATAAGAATAGATGAGTAGATGGCTGGATTACTCATCACTAGTTTTGTGCAGTCGAGGATGGGTAAAATAATCCAAGGCTTTAATCCTTGAATTAGATCGAATTCAAGCTACACGCACAATGGAGGATTCACTTTCTCTTAATTTATTTATTTTTTCTTTCTCCAAAGGCCAGTTCACAACAATATCAAGGGCAAGCTTCTCATCTTGCGAATTGTGAAGGAACAAGAGCCCCTCTCCCAACTAGAGAACTGAGGAGAATGTAGGCCACTAAGACCTGGCCATTGTTGAGAGAGAGAGAGAGAGAGAGAGAGAGAGAGAGAGAGAGAGAGAGAGAGAGAGAGAGAGAGAGAGAGAGAGAGAGAGAGAGAGAGAGAGAGAGAGAGAGAGAGAGAGATTAAATCAGTGAGAGGTCAAGAACAGTAGTTTCACTGTATTCCTGAATAGCATGAATATTTTCCTGTGCACGGAGATCACAAGAAACTAAGTATCAGAATACCAGATAAAAAATCAGACAGCAAACAAGCACAATTGACTTTAACTGCAGACCTGAGGTCAGCACATACTGTATGGAAAGAGAGAGAGAGGGATGAGAGAGAGCATTGTATGTTTGTACATTTATATGGGTGTAAATTAACTCTCTACTGTTCTCTAAGAG